CCTGCACATGTAAGAAACGATGCACCAACGTGAGTCACTGCAGCGTTTCAGTGGCCGAGGACTGGAAATCACCCAAGTCCGGCAATAGGGAGCTGGGCGGGGTGAGTCAGGCACACCCTCCGGGACAGTCCGAGCAGCTTGCTGTGAGTGGGGATGATCTCTAGGGATGGACAGGGTGAAGTCTCCACGATATTGGGTACCTTTTACAAGGCAAGGTGCAGAAGAGAGTACACAGCACACTTTCTTTTGTGATACTGTGTGTCGTGGGGTATAAAAATACGTATTCATATTTGCTTGTATTTCCCTAAAGAAACAGAGAGATAAAGGAGAATCTAATAAAAATGGCTGCCCATAGGGGCAAGGAGAAACTGGGTAGACAGGGATGGGAGGGAGGAAACGGCCCAGTGTGGACCTTTCGTGTCACTTTGATTATTGACCCATGTTAACATATTACCTACTCAAAAAAAAAAGCACTTTAAATAAAAAGTAATGAAGATAGAAGCCACGTTTTTAAAATTACAGTTATGTCACACATAAAAATTTGGAATGATTAAGGATACTGACACATGATAACAAGAAGGGTAATTTTCTTTTTAAAAATAACAACATTTATGGGCCGACCCGGTGGCTCAGCGGTTAAGTTCTCACGCTCCACCTCTGGCAGCCCAGGGTTCACAGGTTCAGATCCCGGGCGCGCACCGACGCACCGCTTGTCAAGCCATGCTGTGGCGGCGGCCCATATAAAGTAGACGAAGATGGGCACAGATGTCAGCCCAGGGCCAATCTTCCTCAGCAAAGAGAGGAGGATTAGCATCCGATGATAGCTCAGGGCCGATCTTCCTCACATTAAAAAAAAAAACAAAAAACACATTTACGCATAATACTGCCATAGGTGTCATGCAGGTTCTGTTGGGAACGTGAATCGGCACCACCGTGTCTACACGCAGGGTGGCACAGGGCCAGCCGGGCCTTGTCTCCACAGGCACCTCCTAAGGTCACGTGGTTCTGAGGCCAGCGGAGGTTTCACCAGGGCCACACGTCCCCTGTCATGTCCTCACTGCAGTGCCAGCCTGGACACACCCACACACTCCGGGTTCTCCCTGTTGCTCTTCACCGAGTCAGGGCCTGCCCACAGCTTCATGCTGCCCCGTCCTCCGTCGATTCTTCAGTGTATTTGTCCCGCCTAGTCATATTCATGCCAGTCGCAAATGACATAGACTCACGGCTTATAGCTTCATCCGAATTGTTGGTGACGATGTCCGAGGAACAGGCCCGCCCGGAGTTCCCTTCAGGGCAACACCTGTTCACGGACAGGAGCCTCTTTGGTAAGGTCCTTCAGCAGTCCTGAATCCAGGACATGCTGCCGCATCTTGTCCCCAGGGAAGCAGAAACCTCGTCAGACACCTAGACGAGTTATGCACACCCCGACCTGGCGTCATAGCCTCACGGGCAAAGACACCCGTGTGGCGGACCTGCAGCGATGGTGGCGCCCACACTCGCTCTCCTCCTGCTCAGAAGGGCCGTGTTACCCCTGCACAGCCACAGGCCACCACTCATGGCAGGGTCAAACAGGGAGGAGGACCAGGTCGTTGACTGTCCAAACCAGGACTCTACTGGAGCTGGGGGGGGTGGGGGGTACCTCAAGGAAAGGCCTGGCCGCAACTGTCCTGAGCAGATCAGGACTTGACCAGCCTTCTGAGCAGGGCAGTAACAGCACCCCGCAAGCACAGGAGAGGGGACAACAAGGACCGCATGTCCAGCATTCAAAGCAGCGTCTAGCAGGAGGTGAGCCGTAACACACGCGAGCTCTGATCATCTAGCAAAATACTGGCTTTGACATAGATTAAATGGCAAATGTAAATGCTTTACCATTTGTTGCGTCATAGCGACAGCAATGTTAAAAAGGCTTTTCTGAGAACAGGTTGGGGAATTTGAGAGTGCAGAGAAGAGCAAAGCAGATGCACTGATAATCCATGACTAAAAACGGGTGTGCGGGCCGAATGTCTTCGGAGCTGACCGGACTCGCTGCAGCGACAACAAAGGGACCACAAGGAGTGGGATGGGAGCTGTGCTGGCAGCTCTGGGGGGCTCCCGTCACCTACGAGCAACCATGGCTGCCCGGGAAGCCTGGAAGAGGAGCGCGCATTTTCATCACTCATCACCAAGCCCCGAGTCTTCCCCAGCTGACTGTGCCGCCTCCTTGTAATTTAGGGACTGGACTTCCCTCTGAACTCCATTTTCTCACCAGAAAGACCAACTTGCTTGGTGTAAGAGGCTAACAATTTGGAAGTCAGCTCTAAATATGGACTTAAAGACAAGTTTTATAGTTTAAAAAGCCATTTAAATTTCTTCTCTAGCTGAATTTAAAAAGTCCTTCTCCATCTCCCTTTATGAGAACACACATAATATGCAATAAAAAGGGATTCTTTCAGGGGACTTCATTTTTGCCCTACTTGCAAGGCTTGTATAAACTATACTTACCCAAACACCTTTTACAAAAACATAAAACCCTTTTATTAACAAAGCGCATGGTAGGATGGAGTTTATTTAATCAGAGCCCGGCTGTGGCGGAGCTCACCTGAGGCGCTTGTGGGGGCCCTCCTCCTCCCTGCCTCAGCGGGCTCGGGGAATCTGTGTCTCCCCTCCTGCTTTTCTCCCTCCGCCTCGGCCCAGGAGCCTCGCAGAGGGAGCCGTCGGGGGCTCCTCAGGGGCATGGTCAACAAAGCGATGACTCTCTGCACCTGTGGGTGAAGGCGGGGGATTCCAGGGCTGGGAGCTGAGTCCAGGTCTGTGTGGCAATTCTCCCGATGGTGGCCACACCTGCGCACATGATCGTGTTGGGTGTGGCCTCATTTTGAGGCCGATTCTTGTGGAAGCACGAGCAAAATGGTCATCCTGAGCCCGTGACCGTGGACATCAAGCTGTTGATTCAAAAGCTGGTCAAGGTGCTGCCTTCTTTTCCTTCACTCGTGTGCCGTGACACTGTGCACATCAACAGAAGACAAATCCAGGCAGCTCAGCGCGGCTCAGCCAAGAAGTCCAGGAACATTTCAGGGGCACTTGTCAATATGCTGAAGAGAATTCCAGACCACCCAAAATCCTAAACTGCACTTAGCGTCACTAAATGACATCATCTCTCTTCACAGATTTCAGTTATTATTATTTTTTTAAGTTGTTTATTGAAGAGAAAAATAAGTACGAATATCAAAGTAGAAAGCTCGAATTCTACTCGAATTATTTTTTTCAAAGGTTTACATATTTCCTTTGAATATAAATTAGTGTCAGCTCAACTTTTAAATTAAAATTTCTGAAGTATGACCTCAGTACTTCCTGAAAACTTATAAATCAAAGTAAAGGAAAACATTTAATAACCCCTTTTGTGTATTTTATCAAAACAATAAATAACATCAGGATTTAATTCCTCTATAAGATAGAGTAATAATCACATGCAAAGACTTTTGAAAACTTCACAAATGATCTTAAAATTTCTGATAAGTGCTTACCTGTCTTGTAAAACTTCGATTTATACTGACAAGGGATAAGAGCCACAATATGAATGAAAAGACAAATTTCCCTGAACTTTCTTCAAAGAAAAACAAAATGCAGATCTTTGAAAATAAAAAAATCCAAATGCTTATAAATGTTTTTTTCCAGGTGTGAACTGAATTGCACAACCCATACACTTATAGAAAAAATATGTGATTATTTTTAATGATTTATGTATAAAAGAAAAATAAATTTTATGATACAATTTGATAGACTACTTCATACAAAATTTTACTCACATACAATGTATGCAAACTTTTGTGACAAAAATTCTAGTCATATATACAAATTCACAAAAGGCAGACATCTTAACTTGAAGCAAAACAGGGTCCATTTAGGGTTGTGGCTAAGCCATTCAATTCAGTAGAAAAGAGATGATAACTATATGAAGGACTGGTGAACTAATATGCCTCTTCTCTTCCAATAATGTAGTTAGTAAAATCCGATCACACAGAATTTTATGGTGCACTATAGAAAGGAGAAAAAGACCAATGTTTCAAAATGGCAGATCTTAATAATCTGATCTCGAACTTATTTAGCTTAGAAAATCATCTAACTACCTTAGTAAAGAATTTATTTTGGAAATTACACTAAGAAAAACTTAACTGTGCCATCTGTGCTAATCCTTTAAAGAAACAAAACTTTCTCAGGCAATTCTAACACTTAAAATGGCACTCCTTGGTTTACATAATAAATCAATATCTAGAAATAAAAGTATCAGAACCCAGACCTTAAGACCCATAAGTATGTCTCCAAACAGTGAAAACCTTTATACACAAACTGAAGACTTCAGTAAGTATTTACAGCATTACATGTAAGTGAAAAACTAAATATAAACAATGTTTTAAAAAAACATTTGCTTTTAAAAAACAATTTCCAAAAAAATGGTAACATCAAAAATTTTGCATATCAGTGCACTCTCGTAAGTCTTCCTTTTGCAGTTTCCCCTAAGCTACCTGTCTCTCAGGTGTGTAGGTGCATACACCTACGTGAAGGGAACGGAATGATGCCAGCGCCTTGGAGAGCACGCGCCTCTTCTTAAAGAGGACAAGGACCCCTCGGAGCCACACGAGCATCCACGTGCGGAAACCCAGGGACAAACTGCTGAAGAAAGGTAGGATGCAGCCCGTGACAATCTCACGTCCAGACAACGCGCGTGAAGGCCATATGGAAACCTCCTTTTTCAATTTACAAATTTCTAAGGGCTAGAAACACAAGCAAAAGATAATAGGGACAAATAGGAAAATTACATAAAGAAATATATGCAATTACAAAGAGGTTAAAAAAAGTTCACATGTACCTTATAAAGATATGGGCTAAATTAACCCTTTTCAAGTGGAAACAAGCTAAAAATAGAAGTCGTTCATTTTCAGGCCTCATTCTATTTATCAAGTGCCTATCAAAAGTACAGTCATCCTTCACTCAGTGCTTGACACAGGCAAGTCCTGCCACTGGACTTCAAGACTGAAATCAAGGACTCCTGTGATCCCGGAGAGCCGACAGCACTCACCTGCTGGAGAATGCCGTACAGAACTAAACAAAGCAGGCTACTGCAGAAACACAAAGAACAGGCTTCCAAAGAAAGTTCTCACACAGGTGTTTTCAAGAGCTATTTATAACTAGCAAGCATTTTAGCTGGAAGAAGGTAAGAAAACATGGTCTTAACACACTGAATATGCCTCAAGTTTTAAAGCTCTGAACATTAGTTGGATAATGTTGTAAACTGTTCGTTTTCTTCAAACTGAAACTTCAAGAGCAATGATGTTCTCTCTTCCTGTCTGTTTTCAAACTGAGGATGACTTGAGTCTCCCAAACTTCTGAGCCTTCACCTTCTGGAACTCACATTGATACTGTACACCATTTTCTGAATTTTCTCTTCGTTCTTTAGTATGTTGGCTTTCACAGCACAGATCTTGTCCTGCTGGTCTTGAATCAGCTGCTCCAGCTCCCCCAGCTCCACCTTTAAGGGCTCCACGGCACAGTCTGTGATGCTGGCAGAAACAAAAGCACATCTTGTCTCACTTCAGATTCACGTCTTAATTAAGACACTGAGAGACGACAGAGTTAATTATTCATCGTATCCAAAGAAGAAGGGTAAAAATGTCAATGTACTACAATAATGATATGAAGGGACAAAAACCTCACACCTGAGAAAAATCCATTTCTTACTTTCACAACTCCCTCCACGACCAAAAGTGACGTCGAACATGAAGTTTATACAAAGGAGGCTAATATTTCCTAAAGTCCTTAAATTACGTATGTCACGGGAGCCCTGGGGACAGCAGGAGGTGAGCAGCGAGGTCCATCAACACCGTGAGCCTCCATCTGGACAGCCGGCAGGTCCCCAGCTTCCTTGAGGGAGGGGCCTCGACCTTTGACCTCCAGGAGAGGCTCGCCCAACTTCAAGGGCATCCCGCTGAGGCCCCTCAACTCACTTGTTCCAGATGTGACAGGAGGTCTTTCAGTGCTGGGGAAATACTGGGAAAAGTCTAGAACACACTTGGGAAAGTTGAGGTCAGAGGTAACCTCTCCTTTTAGGTGTTTTAAGCATTTAAGACAAAATAAAACACAAAACAAAGAAGAGTGATTGCTTCCAACCATCCTACCATAAAGCAAAGCCACGTTTTGTAAGGAAGAAACATCTAGGATGAGACTTTTTTTTTTTTTGTGAGGGAGATCAGCCTTGAGCTAACATCCTTGCTAATCCTCCTCTTTTTGCTGAGGAAGACCGGCTCTGAGCTAACATCTATTGCCAATCCTCCTCCTTTTTTTCCCCTAAGCCCCAGTAGATAGTCGTATGTCATAGCTGCACATCCTTCTAGTTGCTGTATGTGGGACGCGGCCTCAGCATGGCCAGAGAAGCGGTGTGTTGGTGCGCGCCCGGGATCCGAACCCGGGCCGCCAGCAGCGGAGCGTGCGCACTTAACCACTAAGACGCGGGGCGGGCCCTGGGATGAGACTTTTTAATACCTTAAATCAAAACATAAGAATGCTAACCCATCATCATGCTGGAACAGGCACATGAAAAAAATACTTAACAGTTGATGTAGTTACATGTGTCCCAGATTCACTGATTATAGATAGAGAATTTCAAACACGTCCCTAAAATAACTCTTTTAGTGACTATTATATTTCTTTTACAGTAGCAATTTCAAAATGGGCTCACCAGCACTACTTTTACAGTAAAAATTAAAATACTTTCAAATTATGAACCGTTATAAAATTTCAGAGATTTTAATAAGACACGTGAAACATCAGTGTCCAAGCTGCTAAGTTCCCTGTCTTTGTTAAGGTCTAAGTCTACCTTGTGCGTGAACATGAACGCCTAACCTTTCCAACTGCTGCAAAGGAACGCACGCTGTGATAGGACGATGCAGGGACCCGGACCCTTTGGGGAGGAGGACAGAGAGGTGCTGGTTTCTAGGGGGAGTCCTCCCTTCGCAACGGCAGATGCAGGGCTCGCCCCCTCCCCTTACCTCCCTCCTCCTCTCCCGCCCACCCACCTCTGCTCCTTCTGCAGGGCCTCCGCGTGCTGCTTGTTCTCACTGTGCCACAGCTGCAGCTCATTCTGCATGGCGTCCACGTCCTCCTGGATGTAGTCCATGATCTTCCCCAGGGGAAGTGCACTCTTGCACAGCGTCTGGATGGATGCGCGAAGCTTCTCTATCTCCTTGGAAACGATGTCCTTCTCCTTCTTCCATGCAGACTCAAAGACAAGCAGTTTCTCCTACAGTCAGTGGGGAAGATAGGAAGAGAGAGAAACATCTTCACTCTAAGGCAGGACGGGGCTTGCTAAGGGTGGAAAGGCATGGGAGTGGGGACAGTGCCAGCTCAGGACCCATTGGGTCATGTGACACCATTTTGCTTCTGTGAACGTGAGGCTCGGGCCAGCAGCAGCCCTGTAGTGCCAAGCACTGTGTGAGCACCTGAGCAGTGTCCAGTGAGGGTCCGTTCCTGGAAGGCAGTCTGAGGGGCAAATTTCTATACGGTAAGATTTTATTTCCCAATTGACCAGAAACTTCTTGTCGTTATTGTTACAAAAGCTTCAGGACACTGGTGATCTTCCCCAACGGTCTGGAGGAAAGGGGACCTGACCCTGCATCACTCCTTGAACACACCACCTTTCCAGCTCAGATGACTCTGAAACCCAGCTTGCCGGGCCAGAAGAGGAAAGGAACCGAATGAGAAGAGGAAACCTCATGAGGCAGGAGTGAAGGGATGGAGAGTCTGTGGAAGGAGGGCGTGGCCCACAGCACCACGTGGGCAGATGGTCAGGTTGAGGAGGGCTGGACCGAGTCTGGAGGTTATGGAGGCCAGGGGCCCTCAGTGGGCATTGCTGGTGCAGGGTCGGGGGAGGGGGCTCATACAACAACAGCTGAAGGAGGGGAGGACTCGGAGGCGACTAGAGAACTTGACTGAATTTTGGCCAGGAGTTCCTGGGCTCTTTAACAAGCAACATTTAAAACTCTCTTTACTTTATTCAAAGTAGCCAAAAATTGGAAACAACTCAGGTGCCCTTCCTGGGTTAATAGTTAAACAGTGCTACATCCATACCACGGAACACTACTCGTCAATAAAAAGGAATGAACTGTTGATTCACACGACAACTGGATGGATCTCCAGGGAGTTATGCTGAATGAAAGAAGTCAATCTCAAAAGATGAGACGCTGTGTGATTCCATTTATATGACATTCTTGAAATGACAAAATTATAGAAATGGAGAACAGATTAGTGGTTGCCAGTGGTGGAGGACGGGGTCGGGGGCAGGCAGGGCGGGTACACTTACAAAAGGGCTACAGGAGGCATCCATGTGGGCATGGAAAGTCCTGTGTCGTGACTGTGTCAAGGTCAGTATCCTGAGTGAGACAGTGTGATAACAAGATGTTATCAGTGGGGAAACTGAGTAAAGGGCACAGGGGGTCTCTATTATTTCTTACTACTGCAAGCGAATCTACCAGTATCTCAAAATATGTTTAATTAAAGAAAAAGGTAGAGCCGGCCCCATGGCTTGGTGGTTAAGTGCACACGCTCCGCTGCCGGCGGCCCGGGTTTGGATCCTGGGCACACACTGATGCACCGCTTCTCTGGCCATGCTGAGGCCGCGTCCCACATACAACAACTAGAAGGATGTGCAACCATGACGTACAACTATCTACTGGGGCTTTGGGGAAAAAAAGGAGGAGGATTGGCAATGGATGTTAGCTCAGAGCCGGTCTTCCTCAGCAAAAAGAAGAGGATTAGCATGGATGTTAGCTCAGGGCTGATATTCCTCACAAAAAAAAAAAAAAAACTAAATAAAATATATCTTAAAAAAAAAAGAAAAAGGTAGTGGCTATAGAAATGCCTTTAAATTAAAATGCTAAATGACTAAAATGAATTGGATACAATAACAAACTACCCCCCAAGAAAAAGAGTGTTGTCTTTATTATACACGGATTAGTAAATCTCTCATTGGCTTAGTTGAGAAATTTAATATTCTATTTAAACCCATTCATAATGACTATTAAGTAATTCCCATGTACTTGTCATCATGTTAACTCTCACACAGAACTGTTTAGGGTACAGAACTTAGAATGGGAGACTGATATGCATAAATGTCTGAGTTACAATGTGGACGGAGGCACTAAGGGGTCACCTGGCCAGGCCCCCCTCTATTTTAGGTCACCTGTCAAACTCCTGCATGTTTCTATATCACAGAACCAAGCAGAATTTGGAACACTAATCTGAAAGTTGATAACTTTATTTTTAAGAGGTTAAGAATTTAAAACAAGATAATTTGGGCTGGGATTGTGACAGTCAGCAGAGGCTTTTATTATTACTGCAAACACGTTGCTGCAAAACATCACAATTCTGGCATTTTTCAAACTTTCACTTAAATCAATGTGGCGGGGTGGGAGTGGATAAGTCAAGCAGTGATTATTTGCCTTAAAGAGCACACCCCTCTGACGACAGACTGATTTATATAGAGCCCACAGAGCTATACCAGCAACTTTCCAGACAAACATAACCATTATAACCCGTGTTTTATAGACGTTTAATACGTACAGTAAAATTTGACAGTCTGCTACCATACTCACCACCCAGGAGTCAGCCACATGAAATATGCTTAATATTTGCAAATGAAAGAGTAAAAAATAATGGAACAGTATCACGGCACAAAACGCCCCCTAACAAGAGCCAGGGCGCGCGCCCGTGGACACGCGCGCAGGGAGCGGGGCCACCCGAGCTCACCGCCTGCCCTCTTCACGGTCCTGGAGTGACTCCCTCCCTGTACCTCGGTCTCCTCATATAAAATGGAAATAATAATATTTATCCTGCAGGTGAGATTAAATGGGCCCACATAAACGAAGCAGCTCAGGGCCTCGCACGTAGCAGACCCTCGATAAACGTCCCCCGTTATCGTCCGTTTCTCCACCGTGAGGAAGAAACGCGCAGCCACGCAGGCGGCGGCCGCGGGCTCCCTGCCCGGCGCGCCGCTGCTGCACCGCGACCAACGCCTCGGCTGCAGGAGGGGCTCAGGCAGGCGCGTTCTGAGCTACCGTGCTGCACACTGACAGCACGGTTCTACACCGGCAGCACCAACCGGCACCCTGCGTCAGCTTCAGGCAGACACGATCCTTCAGCAAAAGATCAGGTGTCTTCCTTACTGACACGCTCCCTTCACCATCTCCACTCTGTAAACATGACCCACAGCCATGACATTCCATCTCAGAAGTCTCCACTGAACGGCCTGGACTCGGGGGCAGAGGTCTGCTCTGAGCCGTGCAGGTCGACCCGCAGCCCCCGCTGAGGGACCCCGCCACGGGATCGGTTTCCACAGGTGACACAGACAGGGAGGTGGCAGCCGTGTGTGTTTCATGGGGACACAAACCCACCCTCCTGTGCCCTCCTGACCCCTCCTGCAGGCTGCAGACTGTTTACTCAGCTGCTTTCTGGCAGGAAGGCCTCTGGCAAAGTGTTTCACCATTTGGCTGGCCACTTCTACATGCGCTTTAGAAAAAGTGATTTTCCAAGATTTTTCAGGTGAACAGTTACTTTTGGGACTTAATATTATTTGCATTTACCACACACACACTTGTCCCCAGAAATGTGGGCATTTGTGTTTATAGTGATGTTTAAATTTACAATTATTTACGTCATACAAATAAAAGTATTCACCTGAGAGATTTGTTTTTTTCAATTTCAATTGCAATGCTTCAGGAGAAGAAAGTCCTCTTTTAAAAATAATGCCGTAAAAGCCTGACCCTCAGATACCGCCAGAAGCCTTTCAGGAGCAGGATTTGGGGTAGACTGGGAGGGCTGGCGGCATCTGCACCCTGCTCTCCCTCCTGCACTGGACCTGAGGGGTCACGACTGCTCCTAAGGAAAGTTCTAGCCCATATGAAGCAAACCCAATAAACAAAGGCCTGAGTAATTGGGGGTGGGGGAGGGATAATAAATCAAAGAGTGTGAGTGTTTGCTTTAAACAACATACTCTCCCATGACCTGAGGAACCGATTTATATCCAACCTGTCGAAAGTTCATTTTCTTCAAACGTCGAGGAATGCCTGCATCCAAGTTACAAGAGAAAAGCAAAGACCAAGAGTAACTACTCCGAGTGTCCATTCCATCACCAACTTCTTTGAAAACCATACATTCATCTCTAATGTAGGTCAAACCAGATCCCTTGAACGCACAGTAAAACAGTCCACAATCAAATACTACAATCGCTTTACACATACAGAAAAGCACGTACAATATAAATGTATGGTGTAATAAAATGACAAGGTGACACCTGCAGCCTTTACCTTGGTCAGGAAAGCAAACCCTGCCAGGGCCCCTGAAGCCTGAGGTCACCGCAGGCTGCCCTCCGTGGTGATCAAGTCCTGGGTCCATCTGCACCCAGCTCTGCCGTTTGTTTACCTGCCTGCCCATCTCACCAGTACAGGACAAATGGAATCACACAGTACATACCCAAGTGTCTGCCTCTTTTGCTCTATACTATGTTCAAGAATGAACCCTGTAGTCACCAGTACATGAATTCTGTTCGTTTGCATCGCTGAATGGTATTTCATTATATGAATATGCCATGATCGACTCATTCATTCTACTGCTGATGGACACTTGGGATATTTTTGGTCTGGGGCTATGACAAACAACGCAACTCGGAATAATCTTATATACGTCCCAACACACACGGGTGTAGGATTCTCCAGGATATGAAATGAGAAGTGGCACTGATGGGTCAAAGGGTCTGTATGTCTTCAACTTTGTGACATAACGTCAAACAGTTTTCCAAAATGGTTGTACCAATTTACATCAAATATTTTTCATAAATCAATATTTCATTCTTATGTGTACAAAAGAGCACCAACTCCTGTGGCATTCCTACCCTCTGACAGCTGCGGGTAACAACCACTGAACTATTTCATGGGCAGCAGAGAGGAAACTGCCACTCCAACGTGCTGTTAAGAAAACCTTCCAGATGATAAAATTTGCTCATTGCAGCAACTACAAGTAAGAAATAAACACGAGCAGGAAGCTTTCAGGAAGCTCCAATGTACAAGAAGCTATGCAGGGTGAGGTTAACTGCCTAGCCTGGGGCCACACAGATCTCGGGTGACACCGTACCTCTGCGACTTACTGTCTACATAATCCTGGACAAGGTAACTTTTGTGCCTGTTTCCTAACCTAGAAAGTGGGGATAACACCTATCTCAGAGATTACTGTGAATATTAAGTGACATAC